CGCTACCAGGCAGAAATCAACGACCTGGAGAACTTGGGCGAGATGGGCAGCGGCACCTGCGGCCAGGTGTGGAAGATGCGCTTCCGGAAGACCGGCCATGTCATTGCCGTTAAGGTGAGCCTTGGCGGCTACCCCAGCTGCGCCGCACACCCCGGGCCGGTGCTAAGGCTCCCTCCTGTCCCTGCCTGTGCAGCAAATGCGGCGCTCGGGGAACAAGGAGGAGAACAAGCGTATCCTCATGGACCTGGATGTGGTGCTCAAGAGCCATGACTGCCCCTACATTGTGCAGTGCTTTGGGACGTTTATCACCAACGTGAGTCCCCAGCCGTGCCAGGTGCCCCCTCCCCCTCACCCTGCAGGGTCTCCTCCTCCCTCACCCCCTGCCCCTTCCCAGGGAGCAGAGCCTCTGGGGGCTGGGCCAGAAGACACAGCTCCCCCCGGGAACCCCCTCTTACTGCAGACGGACGTCTTCATCGCCATGGAGCTCATGGGCACCTGTGCCGAGAAGCTCAAGAAGCGGATGCAGGGCCCCATCCCCGAGCGCATCCTGGGCAAGATGACAGTGGCGGTGAGTGGCCGGGGGGGCGTGCACCGGGCAGGTGGCCTTGGGCCTGTGCCCCCGGTCACATGCACCCTCCTCTGCCTACCTGCAGATTGTGAAGGCGCTGTACTACCTGAAGGAGAAGCATGGTGTCATCCACCGCGACGTCAAGCCCTCCAACATCCTGCTGGACGAGCGGGGCCAGATCAAGCTCTGCGACTTCGGCATCAGCGGCCGCCTGGTGGACTCCAAAGCCAAGACGCGGAGCGCCGGCTGCGCAGCCTACATGGCAGTGAGTGGGGGCCCTCCAGTGGGGGAGGGGGTGGGGCCTGGGAGCCCAGCCCAGACTTTGAGATACATCTTCCCCTCCTCCTCCTCCTGTAGCCCGAGCGCATTGACCCCCCAGACCCCACCAAGCCAGACTATGACATCCGGGCTGATGTATGGAGCCTGGGCATCTCGTTGGTGAGTTGGGGCCCTGCCCCTTTTCTCCAGCCAGGAGTGAGGACTCCTGGGGAACTCGGAGGGAGGAGAACACAAACCTGTCCTGGCCGGTCCAGCCCTGCCTGTCTCCCTCCCAGGTGGAGCTGGCAACAGGACAGTTTCCCTACAAGAACTGCAAGACGGACTTTGAGGTCCTCACCAAAGTCCTACAGGAAGAGCCCCCGCTTCTGCCCGGACACATGGGCTTCTCGGGGGACTTCCAGTCCTTCGTCAAAGACTGGTGAGACCCTCCCTCCGCTTGGGAGGTCAGGGACAGCCCGCTGCTCTGGGCAGCTGGGGAGGCAAGGCGGGAGCGGAATGGAGGCCCCACCCTGGGATGGGTGGATGCGCCTTTTGGGGGACTCGTGGCTGGTGGCTGCAGACAGGAGCTGGAGCTGGTACCTGGGGAGCCACGAGCTGGGTTTGGACCTGCCTGAGGGGACAGCCAGCCCTGTAGCATTTGGCAGGGTGGCTGTGGGAGATTGTGAGCACGCTTCTGCAACAGACACAGCTACAAGTGCAGGAAGGCCATGTCTGATTCTCTCGGGAGCCCCACCCAACTTTCTGGGGGACCTCAGCTAGCTCTGACCCCCGAAGTCAGGCCCCTGCCACCTAGCCAGGAGGCTTCGGGACTCACAGTTGCTCCCAGCCGTCAGCCGGGGGCCTGAGGACATCCACAGCTCCTTCCGCCACACACATCTTGGGGACCGCTGGCTCCTTGGGGAGGGCCTGACCACAGGGGTGGGACCAGCATCCCCTCCTGCCCTGCTCTCACATCTGTCTTCCGTTCTCTTCCTGTAGCCTTACTAAAGATCACAGGAAGAGACCAAAGTATAATAAGCTACTTGTGAGTACTTGGGGCCCTCCCCGTCCCTGTCCTGTCCCTGCAGCGGCGCGAGGCCAGGAGGGAAGACCCTCTCCTCCTAAGCCCCACCCCCTCGGGCCCACAGGAACACAGCTTCATCAAGCGCTACGAGACGCTGGAGGTGGACGTGGCGTCCTGGTTCAAGGATGTCATGGCGAAGACTGAGTCACCGCGGACTAGCGGCGTCCTGAGCCAGCCCCACCTGCCCTTCTTCAGGTAGCTGCTTGGCGGCGGCCAGCCCCACAGGGGGCCAGGGGCATGGCCACAGGCCCCCCTCCCCACTTGGCCACCCAGCTGCCTGTCAGGGGAGACCTGGGACCTGGACGGCCACCGAGGGCTGAGGACAGAGAGTGGGGGGTGCCCACCCACCCCCCGCCCCGGGCCTACCAGGCCCCCGCCCTTCCCACCCCGGGGTAAGCCGGCCGTGTGCGTCCCCCGACAGACACTGTGAACGGAAGACAGCAGGCCGCGAACAGAGTCGCTGTTCATTCAGCCGCAGCCTCTGGGCCGGGGCGGCCCCCAGGGGCCAGGAGAGAGCCCCCGAGTCCTGCAGCCACCATGCTCCCAGCGTGCTGTGCCCTTCGCCACTCCCACGCACCCGTTTCTCCTCCGTCACCCTCTGTCCCCCGCTCTACCTCTCTGTCCTTGTCTGGCTCTCCCGTCACCCTCCCTGCCTCTGTCTCCTGGCCTGAGCCTGTGCCCAGCCACCTCCTGACAGGTCCCCTGGGTCTGCATAGGTCTCCCGTGGCGCAGTGAGTCAGCGGCCCCCAGCCAGGCGGTGGGGGCATTGCCACTGCTGCCAGATGGGGCTGCGCACACGCGCTCTCTCTCTCTCTCTCTCTCTCTCTTTGATCTCAGGGGGTCCTTTTTGGAGTTTATTGTATTTTATTGTACTTGGTGGGGTGTTTGGGGTGGTGGGAGGAGAGCTTGTTCTCATGGGGTTTGTCGGTACCTTCAGAAACTTTTACCAAAGTCACGTTTAGCTGCTTGTCGTGTGGCCCCAACTGCCCTTGGGCACTGGGGGGCTGGGCTGGGGCCGCTGCTCTGGGGTCTCCGGGAGCCACAGCTTGGGGGTGAGTTGAAGACCTCAGGGGGTGCGGAAGGGTCTGTGGGGCCCTCACTGCACAGGATGGCCTTCAGGGAAGGTGGGCACGGGGCATGGCGCAGAGCAGGTGACCAGAGGGAGTCGGTGACAGAGTGGGGCCAAGGGAGGGGTCCGGAGGGAGTCCGGGATCGAGGGCAGAGGGAGTGGATATGGGGGTTTGAGGATGTATGACAAGCTCTAGCAGGGGTGGGGGCCGGGCTGAGGGTGGGGGTGTGAGGCGGTCACCCCCATCATGCCCTTGGCCGTTCCTCCACTCACCCACACCTGGCCCAGCCCACGTTGAGGTGCAGGAATGGGAAGGCCCAGGTGTGTGCACTGGGGACCCAGGCCAGGTGCCCCCCGGAGCCCGCTGGGGTGGCCAGAGCAGGAGGGGGTGTGTTTCCTTTTTGTGGGTGTTGCATGCAAATCAAGTGGACAAGAAAAAATAAAAAACAAGAAAAAAACAAACAAAATCCCGTAAAACCACAAAGAAAAACCAACACCAAAGGCGCAGAAGCCGGCTGGCTGTGGCGGGGGCAGCGTAGGTAGCATCCCTCTCCTCTCACCTAGCCTGTTGACTCTTGTTATGATATTCACAAAACGCCGCATGTTTAAAAAGTCATAGACGTCATCTCTCTGCCCCCAGCGGGGAACGCCACCTTCTCTTGCCCCTTGGTCCGTTTGTCAGGGGCCAGGGGTCTGCTGGGTGGGGGTGCCAACAGGCCTGGCCCTTTTCTCCCCTGCGTCCAGCCATGGCGGCCTCTGCGGATTCCCGGAAGGTTGCATGGCTGGTCCCGGGACCAGCACAGGCCTGAGGCCGGGCTGCCTGGTTTTATTTTTATTTAACTTTATTTTCTGTTTTATGAGTGTGTGTCCGCCCACCCCCACCCCCTTCAGTGTTAAGTGGGGAGCCCTGGGGGAGTCTCTCCTGCCTCCCAGCCTCTCCCAAGACCTCCCCCCTCGTCACCAGCCATCCCTCTGGACCAGGCAGAGGGCGGACCGGGCGGGCAGGGGCCTGAGGGTGGCTCGGGCCAGCCCACCAGCCAATGGACCCCTCCTCAGGCCGCCAGTGGCGCCCTGCCCCTTTTTAAAACAAAATGCCCACATTTGTAAACCCTTAGACGCTTGAGAATAAATCCCTCCCTTTTCTTCCACTGAGTCTGTGGTGTGTCATGGGCCTGGCAGGGCGAGGGGGCAAGGGGGTAGGTGTCGGGGGAGGCCTCTGCATTGAGGGGAGACTGAGGCAGGTTTGGGAGCTGAACGGGAGGTGTTTGTAGTGACTTGCCAATGGATATCAAGCAGTTGGTGTGAGGGACCCCCCTACCCCCATTAGCCACAGGTCGGCCAGCAGAGGATCCCTTAATCCCTCCAGGCCTTGGACATTGGCTCTGGTGTCAGCCCCTCAGTCTGCCACCCCCGCTCCCTGCCTCCCTCCTGGCCAAGGACAGGGCCGCCTGCCCACGTGCGGGACCTGGGTGCAGCCCAGCTAGTGTCTGTTCTGGCCCCGAACACTCCGACTTCAGCTGGTCCAGCATGCTGGGCACTGTGCTGCTGCTGGCCCTGCTCCCAGGGATCGCCACCTTGCCCAGCGGGCCACCTGGTATGTATGAGCAGGGAGGTGACCGGTCTGTCATGCTTCTATCACTATGTCACCCTCTTTTTTTTTTTTGAGATGGAGTCTTGCTCTGCCACCCAGGCTGGAGTGCAGTGGTGCAATCTCAACTCACTGCAACCTCCACCTCCTCTGTTCAAGCGATTCTCCTGCTTTAGTCTCCTGAGTAGCTGGGACTACAGGCGTGCAACACCACGCCTGGCTAATTGTTGTGTTTTTTAGTAGAGACAGGGTTTCCCTATGTTGGCCAGGCTGGTCTCGAACTCCTGACCTCAGGCGATCCGCCCGCCTCGACCTCCCAAAGTGCTGGGATTACAGGTGTGAGCCACCGTGCCTGGCTGGTGTCACTCTTTTTCAACTAGACCTCTGGTCCTCCTCTCGGGGTGGGGACGGGGCAGGGGAGTGGGATGGGGTCTCTGTCCTCTGTCCCAAGGGTGGCTCACAGCCCTACTTCGGCAAAGCTCCCTGCAGCCACGGAGAGGGCCAGTCTACCCAGGCACTCTTCAGAAGTGGGTATGTGGGGATGGATGAGGGGGCTCATGCCTGTAATCCCAGCACTTAGGGAGGCTGAGGGGAGAGGATCGCTTGAGGCCAGGAGTTCCAGACCAGCCTGGGCAACATAGAACCCTTAAGGCCATGTTGGCGAGTGTCTGTGGTCACAGCTACTGGAGAGGCTGAAGCAGGAGGATGACTGGAGCCCAGGAGGTGGAGGCTGCAGTGAGCTGTATTCCCACTACTGCACTCCAGCCTGGGCGATAGAGGGAGACCCTGTCTCAGAAAACAAGGAAAATGGATGTGCAGGCATCTTTCGTATTTGGAGATTATCCGTTTTACCCCGCTTAGCACCTCCTGAAGGCAGACATCAGTGTGTCTGTAGGGGCACGGAGAGGGGAGGGGACCCCATGGCTGCCTTGGACTGGACAGGTGGAAGCGTCTCAGATTTTGGTGGCCTGGCTGGGCTTTGGCTGTGCCCAGGAGAGCGTCTAGGGAAGGTATCCTCTTCACTTCCCTTCCTCGTTAGTGACAGCACCTATGTCCCCTTAGAAAGGGGAACCGTCGGTCCTGCTGTGTCCCCAGGAGGCCCCAGCCCTGGGGAAGGTGGGGGAGCTCTGACTTCACCCAGCTGGACCCCACCATCGGGTGCTCCTCACCGCGTCTGTTCCGCCCCAGGGAGGCCTTCGCCAGCTTCGGAGGCTTCTCTAGGGGCTCATGACTCTGCAGCCGGCTCAGCTGCTGGGCTGTGCGGGTCCCAGGGGTCGCCAGGGGGCACATCACCATCAGGGGGAACGTGGCGCGGAGCCCGTCATGGGTGAATCCGCCGCCGCAACTGCATCCCTTTTCCAAAGGCGGCGGCGGGGGCGAGGTGGTCCGGTCACTTTTCCCAGAGGCCTAAAGGGCAGCACGCGTTTTCTCTCTGGGCCGCCCTCACCCCCGCCCCCACCTCCCGCCAGCACCGCCGTTCCCCGCGGCGCCCGGCCCCTGGCTGCGCAGACCCCTCTTCAGTCTGAAGCTGTCTGACACAGAGGACGTCTTTCCGCGCCGCGCGGGGCCGCTCGAGGTCCCGGCCGACAGCCGCGTGTTCGTGCAGGTGGGGGCCCCGCGGAAACCAGGGGCGGATGGGGGCTGGTGGGGATGGGCAATCCGTGATGGCGCCTCCGTCCCCCAGGCGGCCTTGGCCCGTCCCTCCCCGCGCTGGGGCCTGGCCCTGCACCGCTGCTCAGTGACGCCGTCCTCACGCCCGGCCCCGGGGCCCGCCCTGGCTCTGCTGCGCGAGGGCTGCCCCGCCGACACCTCTGTCGCCTTCCCGCCACCGCCGCCGCCGAGCCCGGGTGCCACCCGCCCCGCCCGTTTCAGCTTCCGCCTGCGCCCGGTCTTCAACGCCTCGGTGCAGTTCCTGCACTGCCAGCTGAGCCGCTGCCGCCGCCTCCGGGGAGTCCGCCGGGCGCCTGCGCCTCTGACGCCGCCGCCGCCGCCGCCGCCATCGCGGGTGCGCGGGCGCAGAGCTTGGAATCCGGGCGCCGGGGTCCTTCGGGGACTGGGCACGAGCGACTCTGGCAGTGGAAAGGGGATACTTTTGGGGTCTGAGGATCTGGAGGTGGGGAGAGGTGGGGCGGAGCGGCCCATCTCTGCCGACAGTTTCTCCGGAGACAGTGTGGACACTGGGTTCCCCCATGGACAGCTCTCGAATCCTTCAGGGCTGGGGGTTGGATGCAGAAGACCACTCAGGGGACACATTTCTGGGAACTTGGTGCTGGGCCTCACACGCTAGGTGCTGGGAGACCCGGACCATGCAATCTTGTGGGGCTGGGATTTGGGGTCCTTACGGGCTGGGCGGCTAGCCACTTGTATGAGTAGGGCCTGGGCTCAGGGATCCCTAAGGGGCCGGATTTCCAGGGGTCCCATCTTGGCTGTGGTGGAGAGCCGGACTCAGGTCTCTCTTGGGGGCCCTGGGGACCAGAGCCACGATCCCGGTGCCCTGATGTCCCCGTCTCTTCCCCACCTTCCTCTCCCCCAGTGTCTGCCTCAGGACGAGGCGTGCGCCGGCACTGGCAGTGGCAGCGCCGAGGGTCTGGCTGCCGACGGCCCCCACCTGCACACGCTGACGCAGCCTATCGTGGTCACCGTGCCGCGGCCGCCCCCCAGTGAGCACGCAGTCCTCCTCCGCAGGGAGCCGTGGGGCGGCAAAGGGGGTGGGAAGGACACCTGGGACCTGGAACCAGTCAGCGTGGCTCTTCCCACAGGGCCGCCCAAGAGTGTCCCCGGCCGTGCCGTGCGCCCTGAGCCTCCTGCGCCGGCCCCTGCGGCCCTGGAACCCGCGCCAGTGGTGGCGCTGGTGTTGGCAGCCTTCGTGCTGGGCGCCGCACTGGCTGCCGGGCTGGGCCTCGTCTGCGCGCACTCAGGTACCCACCTCCGCCAAGCCGGGCCCCCAGTCTAATCCCGCGCGTCGGGACCCGGGGCGACGCGATCCCGCCTGTGGGGCCTGATCAGCCCTAGCTAGGCCTGCCTCCGCGATGCCCGCAGCAGCCCCCAGAGGCCGCCCTTAGCCTGGCGTGGTGCGCAGCAGCCCTTCTGCAGCTCGCCTCTACTTCCAGCGCCCTCGGCTCCCGGCCCGCCCGCGAGAGCCTCGCCCAGCGGTCCCCAGCCCAGGAGGCCCCAGTGAGGAAGGTAGGTATGGAGATGGAGGGAGTTGGGGGAGGGAGGAGATGACAGTGACGCTTCCTAGCGCTTAGTTCGTGCCAGGCACTGAGGTTTTTGGGGTTTTTGTTTGTTTGTTTTTGAGATGGAGTTTCGCTCCTGTTGCCCAGGCTGGAGTGCAATGGCGCGATCTCCGCTCACCGCAACCTCTACCTCCCGGGTTCAAGCGATTCTCCTGCCTCAGCCTCCTGAGTAGCTGAGATTACAGGCATGCGCCACCACACCAGGCTAATTTTGTATTTTTAGTAGAGATGGGGTTTCTCCATGTTGGTCAGGCTGGTCTGGCACACCTGACCTCAGGTGATCCTACCGCTTCGGCCTCCCAAAGTGCTGAGATTACAGGCCTGAGCCACTGCCTCCCGCCCCCAGGCACTGTTGTCAATGTTTTACGCCTATGAACTAACTTAATCCCCTTAACCTCCAGGCGGACACTATTATAATCCCCATTTTAGAGACGAGAATAATGAGGCATTCTCTGAATTAAGTAGCTTGTCAAAAGTCACAATAGTGGGTGGAGCTTGGATTCGAACTCAGGCAGTGGGTCCAGCCAGGAGCATTAGGTGGGGAGAGGCATTACACGAGGAGAACTCAGCATTCAGACCGGGCTCCCACTCTCACCCCGGCATACAGACCGATGGAAGAGGCCAGTGGTCTGCTGGGAAGGGAGGTGGCCCGCGTAGCGTCCCCTCCCTTGCTGAGCCTCAGCCACCCCTCCCAGAGATGGTGCGCCCCCAACGTGGTCCGGAGATACACCCAGCTACCGCTTCGGGACCAGGACCAACAGGACCGGACCCGCCTCCCTGGACCTCGGACCTGATGGGGCCACGACCCCTGTGCTTCTCTCCTCCCCGTCCCTCCCACCCACCTGTGCTCAAAATAAACCTCTAGATTGACCGGCTAAGTTCTGGTGCAGTCAGTGAGCGCGCAAGGTGCGGGGTGGGAGATGGGTGGGGAGGCTTGGGGAGAAAGCTGGGAGTAGGACTTGGGGAGGAGTCTTGAGAAATCCTGACTTAGGGGGTGGAGCCTGGGGGCGGGGCCCATACGCCCACATACCCGTGTGCACTCCCGGGTCATGGGAGACTCTACGGCGTTTTGTCTCAAACAGAAAGCGACACCTGGCCCGGCGCGGTGGCTCCCGCCTGTAATCTCTGCACATTGGGAGGCCGAGGTGGGTGGATCACTTGAGGTCAGGAGTTCCAGACCAGCCTGGCCGACATGGTGAAACCCCGTCCCTACTAAAAAAATACAAAAAAAGAATTAGCAGGGCGTAGTGGCGCGTGCTTATAATCCCAGCTGCTTGGGAGGCTGAGGCAGGAGAATCGCTTGAACCCAGGAGGCAGAGGTGGCACTGAGCCGAGATCGCGCCATTGCACTGCAGCCTGGGCAACAAGAGCAAAAATCCACCTAAAAAAAAAAAAAAAAAGCGACACCCAACCCCCAAGAGTAAGTTTAAAATAAACCCTCCCCCTCCCTCTTCTCCTTACCCGGACACCTGCCCATCTGCCTCCTGCGATCTTCCTCAAGCCAGGCCTTCTCAGCTCTCCACTACCCGCGCCCGGACCCTGCCCTTGCTCGGCCTCGACCTTCTGCCTCTGCTCCAGTCTCCTCTTAGATTGTCAGTTTAGTCTAGAGCTCCTTAAATCTCTCTTGCCTTATACAGGCAAGAGTGGGACTATCAGCCCCAGGCTACAGAGGAGGAAACTGAGGCTAGGCAAGGTTAAATCACTTGCCCAAAGTCCCCAGGCCTGTCTGATCCCGGAGCCCAGCTTCTTGACCACGACTGGATCTTCGGACTTGACCTTTCAGCCAGAACCCACCCCTCTGCGAGGAGCAAAGTACACAGTAGTAGCTTCATGAGTTAGTCCAGCAATAGAGGGAGGGCACGAGATCCAAGGTGTCGTCTCCACTTCATAAATGAGATAAAGTGCAGGCTGAAGGTCTCCTTGGCCCCGCCCCAGTTCCAGTGCTGATCCCCCCCTTCACTTCCATTGGGGCGGGTCCCCAGGCCTGCAAAGGCGGAGCCACACCCCCACGTGCGTCCGCCTCCGCGTGGTGCTTTCTGGCCTCGGCGGCCCCCGTAGCTCCGCCCGCCGGAGACCTGCCTTACAGCGCCTGCGTCTTTCTGACCGGCATGAAGCCACCTCCCAGGCGGCGAGCGGCCCCGGCGCGCTATCTGGGCGAGGTGACCGGTCCCGCGACCTGGAGCGCTCGCGAGAAGCGGCAGCTAGTGAGACTCCTGCAGGCGCGACAGGGCCAGCCGGAGCCGGACGCCGCCGAGCTGGCCCGGGAGCTGCAAGGCCGGAGCGAGGCTGAGGTGAGATGCGGTTCTCGGGACCAAAACCAGGCTGGAGACGGGGCTAGGGTAGGGCGTAGAGTGGGCGGGGCTGCGGCAGGAGCCGGCGGGGCGGGGCCAGGAATGTAAGCAAGCGGAGCTGTGGCGTGGGGCTGGGGCTAAGGGGCGGGGCGTTAGTGGGTGAGCCTGGGCTGGGTGAGGGGCGGGGCGTGGGCGGGAAGAGAACAAGGCCTAGGGGCGGGGCGAACTTGGGAGCAAGACGTGGGCGGGGCATAAGTGAAGCGGAGGGGCGGGGCGATGCTGGGGGCGGGGCGTGCGTGCCGCTGAGGGTTGGAGAGTGGGTGAGTCGTTTGAGGGGCAGGGCGAGTCTGGGGGCGGGGCTTGGGCGGGATAAGAGCAAGACTTAAGGGCGGGGCCATTTTGGGAGTAAGGCGTGGGCGGGGCGTGGGTGGGCCGAGTGCAAGCTTTAAAGGCGGGGCGAGCTTCGGAGTAATGCGTGGGTGGGGCGAGGGCGAAAGGGGCGGAATGAACTGGGAGTAAGATGCAGCCGAGGCCAGTCTTGAAAAGCAACGCATGCTGTTGGACAGGATACGAGCTTGAAGTGAGAGTCAGGGAATGGGGAAGAGGGGACGAAGAAGGGAGTTGAACGGGGTAGTAGCCAGCATAGGGTTGGGCCCTGGGCTGCGTGAAGGAGCCGGAACTGGCCTGGGCCTTACACCTTCTTTAGGTAGCTGGTCAGACTCTGGATGGGGTAGGGGCCTTGGCGGTCACTGGGACTCCTAACACCGGGCTAGCAGGAGACTAAGGCGCAGTAGCGGGGCCCAGAGCAGGCAAGGGAGCGGGCTTTGGCTTCTCTGCTGCAGCCCTGAGCTCATAGAAGCCTCATTCGGCCTCCTCCTCTTTCCTTTCTAGATCCGGGTCTTCCTCCAGCAGCTCAAGGGCCGCGTAGCCCGGGAGGCCATTCAAAAGGTGCATCCGGGTGGCCTTCAGGGACCAAGGCGCCGGGAGGCACAGCCCCCAGCCCCCATAGAGGTGAGGCAGATGAACAAGGCGAGGCTGTCCAGGGCAGGTCCCTGGTGGGTAGGTGGGAGTTGTGGAGGATAACCTGATTAGGGGATCCCCAGGAGGGGCAGGGCTTGGGGGGCCCTTGCAGGCTGATCCCTGGGCTGACCTTTTACCTCTGGCTTCACTCAGGTCTGGACGGATCTGGCTGAGAAGATAACAGGGCCACTGGAGGAAGCCCTGGCAGTGGCTTTCTCGCAGGTACGGCCATGCCCCAAGGCAGGTCGGGGCGTCCCAGAGGACAGGGTCACTGGGCCAAATATGTGAACCTGGGTCCTGGGCCCTTCCTGTTGCCAGCTCTGTGGCCTCCATCAGTCACTGGACACCTCGAGCCTCAGTGTCCCTGGCTCTGAGGCCATCTCCTGTCTGAGCAGCATCTTAGGGTGGCCGAGAGGATGGGGGAATGTGTAGACGGTGAGAGGACTTTCTAGCTTCCCTTACTCCCTGATTGTTCTGCCTGCCAGGTGCTCACCATCGCGGCCACGGAACCGGTCACCCTCCTGCACTCCAAGCCCCCCAAGCCCACGCAGGCCCGTGGAAAGCCGCTGCTCCTGAGCGCCCCTGCAGGGCAGGAAGACTCTGCCCCTGAGATACCTAGCTCCGCCCCCAAGGCACCTAGCTCCACCCCCGAGACTTCTGCCCCTGCCCCTGAGAAACCTGCGTCCTCCGCTGGTCCCTCCACTGAACAAGACTTCGCTGTGGACTTTGAGAAGATCTACAAATACTTGTCCTCTCTCTCCCGAAGTGGCCGCAGCCCTGAGCTCTCAGCAGCTGGTGAGAAGGATGAGGGAGGGCACAGAGGCAGAGGGATCGGGGTCCCTGGCGGCAGGTAAGGGTGTCTCCTTACCCCTCCCCTCCATCCGTCACTAGAGTCGGCTGTGGTCCTCGACCTGCTCATGTCACTTCCAGAGGAGCTGCCCCTCCTGCCCTGCACAGCCTTGGTTGAGCATATGACGGAGACATACTTACGTCTGACAGCCCCCCAGCCCAGCCCCGCTGGAGGGAGCCTGGGGCCTGCTGCTGAGGGGGAAGGGGCTGGCTCCAAGGCACCAGAGGAGACCCCCCCAGCCACCAAGAAGGCCGAGCCCAGCGAATTGAAATCGTCCTGGCAAGCAGCTGGGATCTGTCCCCTGAACCCGTTCCTGGTGCCCCTGGAGCTTCTGGGTCGGGCAGCCACCCCTGCCAGGTGAGGGGCATGGCGGGCAGGAGGCACACCAGGCCCCCTGCCCTGGCCCTCGGTTCTGCTCGGCTGGCACTGGCTCTTTCTGAGGATCCCGTCGTGTGGGAATGTCCCTGAGATGACGCTCAGCTGTGGGGCCTCTGAGACGCCCCACACTTTGGGGGTTTCAGAAATGGAACCCCCGTTGTACAGGGGTTCGGTGGGGGTTACGGGACTCCACTCACAAGCCTCCCGACCTCCGGGACAGGCGGACAGGGCTGGCCTCCCCCAGTCCCCAAGCCCCACTGCGCCTTGTTGTCTCCTGGGGGCCACAGCTGGCACTGCACACCGGAAACGCTCTCACACGTTTCCCCTTCCTGTACCTCGGGACCAGCATCTTCACTTTCTTCAACTGACCAGTCGTGGATACTACTACCTGCTGCCAGCTCCTTCCCCTTCCCGAGGGTATTCTGTGACCATGAATAAAGTCCTCATTATTCTCTTTCTCTTTCGCCTGTGACTTAAAGGTAGAAGTGGGGGCCCTGAAGTGTCAGAGCTTGGGGTCACAGGGCTGGGGGTGTGCCAGGGAGCAGAGCTGCCAGCTGTCTGGTCTGATGAGGCCTGGGGTGAGGAGCCCCTTGGTTACTGTAGAGCTGACAAGTGTGGATGGGAAGGGGAGAGCCGGCAGGGTACCTTGGGGACAGGTGTCAGGGATGGGTTTCAGAGTAGGGCACAGTCACATGGCACAGGTGGAGGGGAGAAGGCAGCAGAGTGGGGGTGGCCCGGCAGAAGGAGTCAAGCCCCAGGCTGGAGGGCTAGAGGAAGATAGGGGTGGGCTGTCCCAAGTGGCAGGAGGCTAGTGGGAGTGGAATGTGTCCCCTGGGGTATCCTTGGGATCTCAAGGATTCCTAGAACGCTGGGAGGGAGGGGCGCTGGAGTCAGGGCTGACCTCAAATCCCTGGGGGTGCTGGGTCCCCGCTTGGGGCTCCCTCCATCAGCCTCACCTGCCCTGTGGGTGTGGACGGAGGGTCGGGTCCGAGGGAGGGAAGCAGATGTCCTCCCACGGCACCGCGCCCTACGCCCAGCTAGTAATCCAAGTGGGTAAAATTCTGTTCTCGGAGTCTGCGTTCACCCAGTCTTCCTTTTATAGAAACGCTCATTCCTCCCCACACATACTGCACACGGCTCCCCGGGGGTGCACATCTCCTGGGAGGGCCTTGGAGCACAGCCAGCCCACTCCGTCCGTGGTCACTGTTCTACCACGCCAGACTCACAAACGCTGCCAACGGTGCTGGGCAGGGGGAGGAGGCTTAGGCTGCAGGTACAGTCGTCGGAGCCTCCCTACAGGGCTGGTGGAGGGTGTTCCAGCTCCCTGCAGGGCTGTCTCTCTCTCACCACCCCCAGCGCCTCCCCAGGTCAACAGAATTGTGTGTGGAGGGGAGGGAGGGAGCTGGGGATATCGAGATGGTTACACATCAGCCCGGCAAAGCCGGTGAAAGGGCTTGTGATCTTGGTGTCTTTGCAGTCCTGGGAAGCTTTAAAAACATGCAGAAGCCAGACCTAGGTTCCACTTCCAGCCCTACCAGACTCTAGCCATGTGACCATGGGGCAAAGAAGTCACTGGAGCTGCCGGCCCTCGGTCTCCTGGCCTGTAGAATTGGGAAGCTAACGGGGCCTGGCTCATTCTCACCATCCCGAAGAGGAGATAGGCTATAAACAGGAGGTGCCAACTCAGCACGCTGCTTGGCATGCAGTAAGCGCTCAATAATAGCTTTTATTATCATGTTCGGCTCAGAGGCAGGGAGTAGAATGGCATGGGAGGGCTGCGGGAGGCACGGCAGGGGAGTCGGCGGGAAGTGGCAGGAGGGCGGATGGGGGGGCAGCGGTGGGCACCGGGGCAGGGCGCGCTGACCTGTCCAGGGGCCCGGGTTGGGGGCAGTAATGATCCTGCCCACACTCTCCCGCCACAGCAGGAGCCACGCATCCTCGACACAGCCGCCATGGCAGGCCTTCGGGCTCCGTCTCCGGGACAGGCGGTGCAGGGCAAATTGGTATGCAGCGTCTGCCCCGTGGGCCCGGGAGAGCCTGCCCCGCAGGGCCAGAGCCCAAGGACGGGCTCAACACTCAGTCAAGGTGGGGTTGACGACGGCCAGACAACAGGGGAGGGAGGAGGGACAAGGGGGTCCCCACTTCCAGGAAAGCACAATAGCAGAGCCACTTATACGCTGGGGAGGGGGCGGTGCGGGGGTCCTCCTCCCTCCTGGGATTCAGAGTCGGGGGGCGGGGGGCGGGGGGCGGGGGCCAGCCGGGCAGGTGAGATGCGCAGAGAGGAAGGGACAGGGCGGATAAAGGCACGAGGTGGGGTTCCGGCCAGGCCAGGAGGGGACATGGGAGGGGTCTCGAGGGGGAACGGCTGGGCTTCTCCCAACTCCCTCCCCCTCTACCCGGGGCAGGGGGCTCCGAGGCGGGATCCTGAACGCAGTCCTGGCCCCGCGGCGCCCCCCGCAGGGCCGACCCTCGGAGACCCAGTGCAGGGCCGGCTGGGGGGCGCCGCGCCCCTCACACCAACGCGTAGTCGAACTGCCCGCGCTCGAGCGCCTCCTTGTGGTCGGTCCAGGACGAGGCGGGCATGCGGCTGTAGGGGTCGAGCAGGATGCGCACGCAGCGCACCATCAACAGAACCAGCACCACGAGCAGGCAGAGCACGAAGGCGAACACTGTGCGCTGCTCCGCATCCAGGCCCGCGCCCACCGGGGGCCCCGTCGACGGCGGCAGGGGCTCCGGCGACAGCGTCCACGTCGCGCTCATGGCTCACATCGCCGCGCGCCCTGCGGAGGAGGGGGGACCCGCCCGGGGCGCCTGGGATGAGGCTGCGCCCTCCCTCCCGCGCCTCCTCCGCTTCGCCCCCTCCCGCCGCCGCCGCCGCCCCCCTTACCGTGCCCGACCCCATCCCCCGCCCGCGCCTCGGTCCCCGGGCTACGCCCATGCCTGGCCCGCCGGATCGCCGCCACCAGCACGCGGGGACCCAACTCTGGCCGTGCGCGCAGGTGGGGGCGCGGAGAGCCGGGAAAGGGAGCCGGCCCGGCCCGGGCCGCACACAACAGGTGCGAACGACCGGCTGTGGCCCGGGTGCGCGGCGTGGGGACGGTTCCCGCGGCCCCTGACCCCCGCTCCCTTTGTTCTCGGCGGCCCGGGACCCCCTCCCCCACCGCCCCCGCCCCGGCGCGCCCCTCACCCTGCCTTCGACCCGGACGGGGACCGACCGCCCGGCGGCCGCGCTCTCTCCGGGACCCCGGCGCCGGCTCCGCGTTCGGCCTCTCTCCGGCAGCGGCGGCGGCGGCCCGGGCTCCGACTCAGCCCACCCCACCCGCCCCTGGAGCGGCGGAGACCGAGGCAGGCGAGCAGCGCGCGAGCCGGGCCGCCGCGGCTGTTCCCATGGCGACGGGGGCGGGGCCGCCGCGGGGGGCGGGGCTGCGGGGGGCGGAGGCTGCGCAGGGAGCGGCGCGCGAGCCCGCGACCCCGCCCGGGCCTGCGGGAGGACGGAGCTCCAGCCCCGGGGACCCGCGAGCACCCAAGACCTCGCCAGGGCGTGGGCAGCTGCCACTCCCACCTTCACTGGCACCTCGGCCCCCTCAGCCTGCCCTGTGCCTGCATTCTCCTCTGTGATAGACCCCACTCCAGACTCCATTTGTGGGGGGACCTCAGTGTCCCTAAAACACTCATATGGGCACTCAAGCTCCCCTGGCCCTGGGGACCTCAATCCCCAGGGAGCTCAGGCAGGTCACTGGGATGAGTAAGTCCCCCTAGTTTTGTCTGTCACAGGCCTTGTCTTCCAACCCAGGGTCCAGCCCTGGGCAAGGCGTCCACCCACTGCGGCTGCAGTTCCTCGCTCGACCTTGACCGCCTCCCAGAGCAGCCGCCCGCTCCCACCCCCACCCTCGCCCCGGCCACTCCCGCGCCAGAGAAGACACTTCAGACTCCGGAGCTGCTCTTCTGCAATTCGGTGTTTTATTCTTTCCAAATCTCGGGCTTATGCACAGAATGGAAGAGCACTGTTAAAATAAAAAATGGACCTAAAGTGGCTTGGCTGACGTGGCCAGCGGGCCACTGAGCAGTGGGTCCCGGGTCCCACCTTGCTGTGGAGGGAGTCCCTGGGCCCTGGGGCCTCTTGGCACTGTGTGGCCTGTGTGCACCCCAGGTGACCAGGCACCCGGACCCCTGCAGGGCAAAGCAACAGGGCAGGGGCCGGCCCTGGGGGGAGTGTCTCCAGCTGCCAGGCACCCGCAGCAGCCCGTTGTCCCCCCCCAGCCAGCTGGTCTTGCAGCTCTTCTGGCAGAGCTGGGGGCAGAGCCCGCAGTCTTGTTCCCAGAGGTCTGGAGTTGCTGCAGGGGGTGTCGCGGTGCCTCTGTGCCTGATGACCCAGCTCGGGGCTCCCTAGCTGTGGCACCGCACTCAGAGGATCTGCTCGGTGCTGGAGGCTGAGATGTCCAGGAGCCGCCAGGCCGCGTAGGGGTTGAGCTCGTCCTGGTCTCGGCAGAGCGCCCACACGTACAGCATCCGCAGCACCTTGTCCTGCAGGGTGGGGTGGGAAGGGTGCCATTGTGAGGGGTGAGACAACCCAGGCGGCTCTGGGAGGGGTCAGGCTCTGTGGGGCAGGAGCCACCGGCAACCTCCCCCGGGGGGCTGGGAGCAGAGGCCAGCACAATTGCCTAGACTCAGGAACCACTCAGGCCTCGGTAAAAAAAAAAAAAAAAAAAAAAAAAAAGGTCTGCTGGTCTCCAACCTCCCTCAACCCCAAACTCTGGCCCAGGGGTTTCTCCGCATCCCCACCCAGTCCCAGGGCTTCGGGGCTCGGAGCTGGGGTCCCTGCCGGATGGCCACACACAGATCTTGGGGACAGGCGGTGCCGTCTGCCCGCCCCATCCCGCTCCGCACTCACCGGGTCGCCCTCCACCACCTCGCCTTTAGGGTTCCGGACCACCATCACCAGCTGCGCCTGGAAGGTGATGATGAGCACTGGCCCCGGCTCCATCATCTTGCCCATGGCCAGCTGCAGAGGGGCCGAGAGGGGTGGGCCTCAGAGGACGGCACTGCTGGGAGAAGGCTCCAGCACCAGGCCCTCCCCGTGGGCCCTGCCTCTCAGACCAGGCCCAGGCCTCCCTTGAGACCCTCCCCTGGGACAAGCCCAAGACCTCTCGGATCAGCACATGGCCCCCAGCCCCTGGCAAGGCCACCTCCTGGGCCCTGTCTGGGCCATAGTTCCCACCCCCGATGGTGGCCCGGGCCCCTACTGCGAGAGGTGCTTACGTCAATGTTGTCAATGTCTAGGATGCGAGAATGGAACTGGAGACCCAGCGCCTTGGCCTGCTGGATGGGGTAGGCCAGCTGGCTGTAAGTCTGCAATGAGAGGCCGACACGTCTGCGTGATGCTGCCAGGACAGGCGCCACGCCACACAGAGCCGCTGCCCACATGCCCTGGCGCCCTGCCGCCAGCCAGCAATGGCAGAGGCCAAGAACCCAAGTCCAAGTGGGAAGGCAGGGGCCACCCACTTACTGGCCCAGATCACACATTTCCCTCTCCTGGGAACCACACTCTATCCAGATGACCCAATGAAAACAGGATTAATCAGCAAAGTGGGTGATTCTCTTGGAACAAAATCCCAAATCCACTCCCAGAGCTAAGCTGGCGGCCCCTTGGCTGATCTTTAATACTTCCATATTCACCACACTCTGAATCTTGGCCTGAGATCAAACGCCTCTTCTAGGATCTGTCCTCAGCCCGAGGCTGCCTCTGTCACTGACCAGCCCCCAGTGTCACCCTCAACCCCCTTGCACCTGTGCCAGGCACAGGAACAGCCCCCAAGACACGTTTTCACTGGAGGTTTCTCTGGGCTTGGCATGAAACCATGAGATGTTCCGATAGCATCTACTTTTTATGGAAATGACTGATCCGCGGAGGGGAGGAAAAAAAAAAACCCAGAGCCAATCCTACTTGTTCGGCTTCTTAAAGGTGACATTTTAAAAACACTTCTGTGGATGTGGCTGGAGCTTCAGCTGTTTCCAGGGCACCAGCAGCTCCCCGGTAAAGCGAGCCAGCTGTGGCGCAATGGTCCCAAGGTAAAAACAAAACAAAAAACCAAAAAAAAACACAAACAAAAACAAAAAACACCAAAAAAAAAAAAAAAATCTACATCGAAACTCATAAATGCCTGCTGGATTAGTCACCATGCAGGGGAGTATTTAAAAAGAAAATCTGACATCTTCTCCTCTGCTTTTTCCAAGTTGTTTATGAGCTGGGTGCAGAATAGAATTAGCCAGGAAAGATTCTGGATCACTTAATACGAAGAAGCCGGGGGAAAGAAACACATAGGTCGGGGAGCGAATAGGGTGAGATGAGGTGGCCTGAGGAGACGGGAGCTGGGAGCCCCACGGGGATGGACTGGGGCAGGGATAGGGAGGCTGCCAGGGATGGGGCAGACAGCTGGACCGGACCCCAGGTACGTGGTGCTGCTGGTGGCCCCCGAACCCCAAGCTTTGACTCCGAGAAGCAATTGGGGCCTCAACAGGACACACAGCTCCTTCCCTGTGTGGGAAGACCATCAATGTTTTGTTTGGATCTGTTTCAGGATCATGTCGTGAGGACAGCTAATGCGTCCGAGAAACTTGGCATGTCCTGGAGGCTCCCCAGGGCCTGGGGAGGGGCACCCAGTGCCATAACCTCACCTGCGCCCCCACAGGTGGTGGCCCCGGGTCACCGATGAAAGCTCCCCCCACCCTTCCAGGGGCTGTTTGGTTACCAGGGTTACCTCTGCGGGTTCCCTCTGGCCCGAGGCCAGCACTGCCCTGGTTTCTGTGATCACACTTCATTCTCACGACTCCTGGGAGGTGAGCACAGGACTCTGCTCTGGCCTGGGAAGTGGGGTGGGTGACGCCTTCAAACCCCACTTGGCTCCCAGCCCCCACAGTCATGTGGGAGACCCACACTCTCCCTGACCCCCTGCCCCAGCATGCAGCCCGGGCCACTGCAGCCACCAGAAACAGGGCAGTCAGGCCCCCGAAGACCTCATTTTGCTTCACGGCTGCAATCGCCTCTCCTGGGACTCTCTTTCACTAAAAGTATTATTTCCCTTTTTTTCCAGACAGTCTCGCTCTGTCACCCAGGCTGAAGTGCAGTGGCGCAATCTTGGCTCACTGCAACCTCTGCCTCCTGGGTTCAAGCAGTTCTCCTGCCTCAGCCTCCTGAGTAGCTGGGACTACAGGTGTCCACCACCAGGCCTGGCTAATTTTTGTATTTTTAGTAGACATGGGGTTTCACCATGTGGGCCAGACTGGTCTCGAACTCCTGACCTCAGGCGATATGCCCACCTCAGCCTCCCAAAGTGCTGGGACTACAGGCGTGAGCCAACATACAGGCGTGAGCCAACACGCCCGGCCTATTATTTCCTTAGTGACAGTGTCTTGCTCTGTCGCCCAGGCTGGAGTGCTGTGGTGCGATGACTCACTGCAGCCTTGACCTCCTGGGCTCAAGTGATTCTCCCACCTCAGCCTCTCTAATAGATGGGACAACAGGTGCCTGCCACCACGCTTGGCTCATTTTTTTCTTTTTTGGAGACAGAATCTTGCTCTGTTGCCCAGGCTGAAGTACAGTGGCACGACCTTGGCTCACTGCAACCTCCGCCTCCTGGATTTAAGCAATTCTACTGCCTCAGCCTCCCCAGTAGCTGGGATTACAGACGTGCACCAGCATGCCTGGCTAATTTTTTATTTTAGTAGAGATGGGGTTTCACCATGTTGCCCAGGCTGGTCTCGAACTCCTGACCTCAAGTGATGTGCCTGCCTCAGCCTCCCAAAGTGCTGGGATTACAGGCGAGAGTCGCTACACCCGGCCACTTGGCTCATGTAAAATTTTTTTGTAGAGACGGGATCTTGCTGTTTCCCAGGCTAGTCTTGAATGCCTGGGCTCAAATGCCTTGGGCTGCTGGGATTGAAGGCACGGGCCACAGCGCCCAGACCTAACCAACATTATTGTAAGATTGGAGGAAAAAAAAAAAGGGCCCAGTAAAACTGGCGGCTTTGTGATCTCTCACAGGCCCAGGGGACACCCCCAGCCAGCCATCTCTTAGACACCAGCCCAGAGAAGGATCCTCCCTAACCGAGTTTACAGTCTGGGAGCAAAGGACTGGTGGGTGACCCGGTGTCCAGCCTGAGAGCCCAGATGTATAACACGCTGAGGAATGGAAGGTCGGGGCGGGCGGTGTCAGGCTTTTGGAGGGTGAGACGTGAGGATCCCCGCCACCAGGAGCCCAGGTCCTGCCTGTCGGGAGCTACCCTAACGGAGCCACCGAAATGGAACTTCTCCATGGTGATTTTTTAGGCCTTAAAAAAAAAAAGGAAGTACTCACAGCTTCATAGCACCAGTCTTTGAGAATGTC